GGTGGAACGCCATAATCGTTCAAGTTTCCGCACAGTTTGCTTTAGGTTCCGTGTTTGAGGGTTATACCACGGAGCAGACTTCCTTCTTGTTGCTATTCTTCTTTCCAGAGGAGCAATAGCGTCCAGCACCACTCTCAAAGAGCCTGTAGTAGTATCGACAAAATTATCGATCTAGGACGGACTGAGGTTCTCATAGGAGTCTTCTTGTATCTTGAGGCAGGGCAGTTCTTAATTTAAGTTCTTAATTTCCTGCACAAGCTTTCTACTGTCCAAATCAGAGTGTCCCTTAAAGTGCAGTGTGGTGCCTAGTGCCTCGCATTGCTCTGCCAGCTCTTCATCTGCAAGACTTGGGAAATGTGTCAACACCCTGAATTTATTTCCCACATTTTCCAATGTGGAAAATCTCTCCTTGATGGCTGATGTGGCTGCATCAACGACAACATTGAAGAATCCAACCTCCAACTTCTTAAGTGCATCGCTGATAGGCTCATCATGTGATTCATATGAGAAGTGGCACTTTGTAGACCTCAGCCTTTGTTGTTTTAAAACAGCCTCAACATTCATTTCTTCACAAATGTCTTTGGCCGCCACACACACACACACACACACACACACACAAACTCACCTGAAGGCTCATGCTGGGGAGAAGTACAGGCAAAGAGGTCTTCGTCTTCAATATCAGATATCTGTGTAGCTGAGAAGATTGATGGTAGCTCATCCTGAAGGACCATTCCAGAAGAGGCCTGTGTAGCTGATGAGGTAGATGGCTGGTCCTCATCCTGAGGCTCTGAGACTATTTCAGCAGAGTCATGTGTAGCAGGGGAGGTAGGTGGCTCCTCCTGACCAGTAGCAGAGGATCCTCCAAAATATTTTAAAAGTGACCCTGAAATTGTAGTTGATTTGCAATTGAAATTTAAATCAAAAGACCGTAGGATTATGTTTATACAGCTAAAACAGTCTGGGGCCAAATTGACCCCAAACGTAATATAGTAGGGTTAAATAAACATGCCCTTACACTAAATGTCTTTCATTACATGCTATATTAATCTAACTTTTAGGGAGGAAACATTAGCTCCTCGGTTACAGCCTTGAATTCTATGCATGGCACACTTTTAGTTCTGACTGTTAAACAATACTTTGTCACAAAATACAGTTGTAGCAAATAGCAAATGTCCGTCTTTGAAACTACCTACGGACTTGAGAATTCCGTTGGTTAATCACAGGACTAACATTAAACCAAATGATGGAAATAAATAATAAATGAACTTCTAGCAGTTTTGTTGCAAAGCACATATTATGGTGAAATTACAAACCTTGTGTTTGTTGAGTTAAAACCGAATTATTGTTGTATAAGCATTAAGCAACATAGCAAAAGAAAAAGAGTTACCCCACCAATTAATTTATGACACGTGTATAATCATACAGAGAGACAACATATTTGCATACCTCCATCTTTTGCTCGTTTCTCCTCCTCTTCTTTTCTGTTCTTTCTGTAGTGGGAACCTGATGATTTGAACCTTTTTCTGTCCATCTCTGTTTTTATTTGCCTCTGACTCGACAAGCAACAGATTTCCCATTCCCCCAACACTGTCAGTCACGACCAGAAGTCAAGACTAAACCAATTAACCTTTGTGACAGGTGACACATAATCGTTTTGTATTACCAATTTTTATTGCCCATTTCACATAATTCATAAAAAACAAAAATGTGCAGGAACTATAGGCTTGCATTTATCATTATTGAAATGTGCGTTATTTGTAAGAAAGTCGGGGTGTGACTGACTTTAGCCCACTAATTACATTAGCGTATTTAACAGTGCTCCCCCCCCCCCTTCTCCGACCGTTCCATTTGGGTGACCCAGAGGTGAACTGACCCCCGCGCGCCCCTCCCTTTTCCCCTTCTGTATGTAGGTAATAAAAAAGCTAATAATAAAGTTAAAAATATAGTTTAATCAAAGTGGTTTTTAGTCGCACACCCGCTGCTGTTGGCTCTGATATTTTCCATGCATTGGGTCAGTGAACGCAGAGCTGACAGTTCAATGAGACGCAGAGTAAACGTCTTCACATTTCCACCAGTAGGTGGCAGATTACGTGTATTTAAACCATAGATGAATATATATTTAATAGTGTTTAAGTTATTTATCGAGGTTATTACAGATGTATTTACTGCTATTTATTTCATGTAATGTTTAGGGTTCATTTGCAACTATTGTTGTATGCATCTTTCATTTCATGGAAGAAGAAACATGTGTTTATTATAAATAATGACAGCTATGCTTAAGTTTAGAATAGAGACATTTGGTTACATTAGATACATGTCATTTAGCTGACGCTTTTTTCCAAAGCTTTTTTAACCCATAGTTTTACATTTTGCCTGGGAACAAAGGGGCAGTTAGGGGTTGGGTGTGTTGCTCAGGGACAATTCGACACGGGACATGGAGCAGCCAGGGTTCAAACCGCCAACCCTGCGGATCCCAGCACACCCTCTCTACTTCATGTGCCACCGTCGCCCTGTGAATCTTGGTTCATGATTTCTGGTGTATTTGTCATACTTCCATCCTAAATTGAACGGTTAGGCCCAAGAGGTCAAATGGCCCAGATGATAAGAAATAATGTTGGTCAATTGCTGTGGTCTAAGGAAAATTCAGACATTTTGATTTTCTCACAAGACAAGAATAAAGAAATTAATTCATTATTTTTTCTTCATCGCTACCATGTTACCTTTCATGTGACCCCCCAGAGTGATCTCAGGACCTGTGCACATTGTCAGGCTACAATTGGGTTGGGAACCATTGCAACAGACCACCTGCTCTTCAGCATGTTGGAGACACCAGCATGACAATGTTACAGTATTTACCGCCAAATAACACTGGTCTGCTGAAGCCTGTTTTGGGAGGAGGAGGGACACAGCAAACATGTGGAAGAAAGGGCTCTGATCAGATGAGACCAAAACGTTTTGGACTCAATGCCAAATGCTGTGTGGTGGACACCCAAAACTGTCCATCAACCTGAGCACACCATCCAATAGGGAAATATGGTGGTCATGGGATCATTTCACACTCTATATTTGACCTATTTACAAGTAGATGGAAGGGATAACATAACAACTGCCGACAATGTTGTCTAACACCAATCAGGCATTTGCATCCATCTTGAAAAATGATGCCAATTTATTGAGAGCACTGTCCAGCAGTACACTAACATCTAGGTAAAGCACATTCCATCTCTGTGTGAGGTGGGCTTTAGGGGAAGCAACCAACAACGCCACCTGGGGACACCACGAGAAATACAGACTTAAATACCCAAGGCACGCAAATAAATGACTGTGGATTAGGCAGAGACGTTTGTAGTAATTCCGAAATTATTATTATTATATATATTATTATTATTAAAGAAAACAATGAAACCAAGGTAAACACAAATCACTAAAAACGGGATTAAGATTATAAAACCAGAATAAAGTGTAACACTAACACAACATACAAACCAACATACCTGTACAGCACAGGACCAAATTTGAATGAGGCCTTGAGGGCAGGTGCTTTTTAAAGGCTTCCACTAATTGGCCGTTGGTTTGGGAGGAGCCAGCTGAAAGGCTGGGTTTCCAACCCCACCACATCTGCAGCTGTCTCCTGGTCCTGAGCGCTTTGTTAGTGCCAAAGTATGACACTCTTGTTAGTGAGTCAACCTCTTCACCCTGCAGCTACTGATGCATCCGGCTTCGCTCAAAAGTTACAAATCTGACGGCAAAAAAACTTTAGTTTTCTCATTTTTGATTAAAAATGAAAAATACAGTGCTTTCGTTTTATGGTTTTTACGGTAAAAGTAAAGGAAATTATCATAACATAGTTCAGATCTATCAGGATCTGTGGGAGCTAACATGAGAGCGTCTGAGAGGGCAATCCACAGGATACGGTTATAACAAATGTTACACTTGCTACGGCCATTGAGCCGACACAGGCATACTGCATGCATGCGTGCCTATGGCTCTTTCCATGAACGTTTAAAGAGCCCCTCGGAGGGAAAATTGAGTGCTCTATTAGAAGAAGAAAAAAAAAAAGCTCAATGCAGTTTAAGCTTTACGTCCGAAGCACACAAACCCTTTCTTGCAAACTCTCTCGATTGAAGATTAAATTATAGACTTTACAATGTTCTCACCTTGAAAGATGTTACAGCCTAAAAACTATTACTCACTTTTCAATTTAGGGACCTGAACTTTACATATTAGGTACAAAATACACACACACTTGTGTCTTTTCTGTTTTGTAAAATACAACAAAACCTTGAAATGAATTTAAAAAGAAAGTTGGAATAAAAGTATGTTAGGGTTTTTGCAAAGTTTGTTGGATTTGGCAAAGAATATTGCAACAGCATTACTAATAATAATAATACTCCAATGTGCAATCTCATGTTCACACACACGCACACACACGCGCACACACACGCACACACACGCGCACACACACACACACACACACACACACACACACACACACACACACACACAGAGGATACACCCCTCTCCCCCCACACACTTTCTTTTCAAAAGTTTGTGGAATTTCATTCACTCAACTGGGCTATTGGTCTATGTTGGGGTCAGCTCCAATTCAGAAAGCTTTTACACAGCTTTTTCTGAAATGTTTCTCAATTCAGCAAAAGAAAAGAAAATTGTTGAGCTGGGTCCACTTGTTGAGTTGTACAGGCCAAATTGGAACCAATCTGACCCCAATCCTTATTTTGCTGTAAAAGCATTTCCTTTGCATCCTTTTGAGGAGCGAACAAATAATAAAATACCGCAACTCTCAGGGACCAAACGATATAATTCAAAACATTGATAGATAATAGGGACTGCATTGGTAGCTTCAACCAGTTAAAAAAATGCCTTGAAAGTAGAGCACAACATAAATTAAAATGTAAGCAGTGATTTTTTTGTTTTGCAGATAAGAGGGAAATCTAATCTGTGTTAGAAAAAGCAGAGTTGACAAAATACAAGAACGCGAATGGCAATGGAATAAAACCTTTATACGACTTTATACAGTGTGAATACAACAGAGCTTTGGTCAGATATTTCTAATGTCCCACACATGGGAATTTCGCAGGTTAAGACATCTGGGGAGCATGTGTGTCCTGACATTACGTATTGAGAGCCGCTAGCTGTGTTCACACATCTTGATAAAGGCACTTATGAATTACATAAAGAAAAATAAAATTGAATTTTAGAAGAAAAAAGTGATTAAGAAATTTATAATAAATACAGTTAAACATTTTCTTTTAGGGATTAAAAAGATACATTGTTCATCTTTGTGATATCGTAGATTGACAGAAGTCATAAGAGAATAACCTCTAAGACTTCCCTAAACATTACCTTTGGCTGTGTTATTTGGTTCATACATGTTCTCAGGACTGTGCGACAATGCCCAAATTACAACAAAAAGTCAGTTTGTGTCACAAAAGTCAAATGTATGGAAGCCCTGAAAGGCCAATGAAACGGTTTTCTCTCCCATGAGCAGGTGAAAAATATCATATATTGTGTGCTGGCAAGTTGTGTAAATTAAAACTCATCATAAATTCTTAAAAGTCCTATTTACAATATTTGGTAGTGGTGCAATTAAGCTATGTGTACCGAAAATGAGTCCCAGATTTAGTTTTAAACGTGGAAAAAAATAGATTTAGATATCACTCTGTGAAATATTTTATTTTAACCTTTTCTTCAGTCATGAACACAGGATATAAAGATCACATGGGTCGAGAAATGTTCTAAACGCTTCTTAGGACTAAAATTGTGCCTGTAGAAATCAAAATAAAATAGAGACTAGTGCGTGGTATAATATCCAACAGGGACTAAATGTGATGCATGCATTCAGATAAAAACATCTAGAACAAGTGGAAGGAAACGCATGTTGTTAAGCTCCAACATGTGATCCATGATGGAGTGTTCCCTCCTGCCACCTGGTGCTCAGTCCACACTCCTATATCTGGTGAAGAGGTTGTAGAGGACGCGCAGTGTCGATTTCAGGTCACAGTTCACTATATCTGGAAAAAGGGAAAACAAACAGAGAAGTTGTACATCCAGTGAACAAGCTTGCCTCTACAATAAAATCAACAAAACAAGGGTAGAGCAAGAATATAAAGCATAAATGCAGATTTAAACAGGTCTTTTGAGCTACAAACTAAATTACATCTAAATCACTGTACTGTGATGAAACACACCAATGCAGGTTCAATATTTGCAATCCTTACCAAATTTTTAAGTAAAAGGTTGCAAATAGCACCCGATTACAGTTTTAAACAAACAAACAATCTAGATCCCAACTATGCCTATTCTCGGATAGATGGGAACGCTTGGCACTAATCTACATCGTGACGCCACAGACTCAGTGAGACTCAGACTCTTGTGACGCCACAGACAGCACTCTCTAATCAGACCCGGGTTGTAGTTCTGGACCAGACACCCTAAATTCAATGTGCGTCCTACCTTCTGGTCGGGGCTTCGGCCTCTCCAGACCTCCGTCCTGCATCAGCTCAAAGGAGATGGACACATTGTGGACCTGCGGAGAGAGTTAGGAGGCTGTGAGGAACCAGAACGCACGTGCACACACACACACACCTCCTCGCTGATAAGGGAACAGTGGACACTGGTTCTTAAATCCCACAACACGGGGGGGTGGGGATCGATTCAATCGTGCGACCACAGCTTCCTGTGCTGGCAAACACTATGACGCTCGGTTCTGTAATAACTTAAGCCTTCAGCAGCTGCACAAACAACTAGTTTATCAACGGACGCATGTCGCCGCGGTCACGGAAACACTCCCAAGAAGTTCATAGCGAACGAAACAGGCGCGCGCACACACAGCGCAGGAACACACGTGATAGATCAAATCGACACTGGGATTTATTTAAAAAGACGGAGCCTGAATCTTTGACAGGTAGAATTATTTGGTATTTTTCAATCTTTACATGGACCTGCGGAGGAAACCAGCAAAGACGTCTGAGTCAATATGAAAAGTGAGGAGGAATACCAATCAAAGGGGAGAAAGAGATGAAAGATGTTTTTCTATTCTCTGTTCTATTCTCTATTATGTGTGTGCGTGTCTGCTGTGATGTACTAAAAGCTTTGCCCAACAAGGGCTCAATGTGTGAAAAGCATGACCGTAGCCTTCTATAACACCCAAAAAGAAAAGCAGAGAGAACGAGCCATAAGAAGAGATCTACTGAGGTGTCAGTAGATCCTACTGAAGATGAAGTGCTCTCTTGGTGCCTGGCACTACTTTTCACAAGCCCACCCCTTGTGCATCATCGATAAAAGACACGCACACGCACGATTACAGATGCTGTGGGGCTGGTGCCTTCGTACGGGCCAGGAGTGGAGCGCTCAATAGGGTTCGGGGGAAGAAGAAACAGCGAATGGCATTTTATTGGGGCGATGGGGACAGCGGATTGCTCAAAAAGTATTTGATTCGTTCAGCGCAGAGGGTCCACCATGCAGCAGAAAGTAAAACAACTGCACATGTGCATCTATTGAGCAATGGTGGCCCCTGTGTACCGTGCACACAATTTGGCAAATGAACAGCAGACATACCTGGGGACGTTAACCTTAAAATCGTGGATTTGGGCTCATATTCCGATCAGCATACAGAAAAACAACGACAAAACAGCTTCAGTTGGTTGGCAGCTTGATTCGAGGGTTGCGTTTGACACATTTTACCTTTTGTTCGAAATTTTCTGGTGTGAGAAAAAAGTTGTAGAGCGGCACAAAGTATCCCTCCAACAGCCCCATCAGCAATACCAGATAAACGCCGTCTGCAAACTGACACAAGCACAGGCCGGTTAACAACGGTGAGGGCTGATTTGGTAACACATGCTCATCATCTCAGGCATGTGACACGTAGGAGCACTGTGTTCCTGTGTATGTGAAGTACCTGTGTGTCCAATTCAGACACCTCAAGGTTGAGCTTGTTCAGGTGTTTGTTCACAAACGTGATCAATGTCTGTGAAAACAGGAAAGGAAAAAGGCCGTCACACTATATCCACACACACACATATCAAAAAACAACAAAGCAAAGGACATCCAGGTTGTGGCCATAATGTGCTAATAAACTCCAAACCCAAAATGGACAGAAGAACGGATTTTGTCGCAATCCCAAAGTGTCCCATATTTGGAGAATTACTTTACACTTATCATTTTAATTACTTTCATTTGCCGTTTTAGCCGCTAAACTAAAGTATCTGCCCGGCAGTTGCTGTTTTGAATGATTCTACCAATATATTGGTAAATGCCCAAACGCATTATTTGAACATTACAGACGATGACATACTGATCTTTAATCGCACAGCAAACACTCTGCTCTGTATTTTTATTGTGAAGGAGCTGCAACATTGACCAGGATTTAATGACCCTAGCTGCAACGCGGACTGCAGTGAAATGCCCGGTTTAGGGGTTTAAATACCCATAGAGAGATTGTCATCTCTTTATATCTGCCTTCCTGAGACCTCTGATTGCTGCTACTGTACCTTTTTGACAACATTCAGCTTATCTGGAGCATGGTCAAACAGAGTGTCAAAAGCGTCGCGTTCTGTAAGGAGTAACAAAAATAATAATAATACTTCCGTCAAAAATCAATGACGTCTGAATGTTGCTGACAAATCTTAAATAAAATCTCCAATGCGCTCTTCTTGGTGGAGGACATACCATGTCTTCCAGAGAAGGCCCTGAGAGGGAAGAGAAATAAAAACACACGGATCAGAAGCAAATTATTAACAATTTCACCCTTGAATATTCATTGAAAAATGGAAGGTGAGCACTTCCAGTCCAATCATAGAGGATTGCCACAGAAAATGACAATACAATAATGTAGCTGTGGCGTCAAAATTTGATTAACAATGAACACAGGTACGCCTTCGGGTGCTCACAAATAACCCGGGCATCGTTTCCGGGGCTTCCACAGTGCCACATACTGTACCAATCCCCGCAGCAGAACAATGACAGTTTGACTTTGATGCCATGAAAGACGTGCCCTTCGTAAGCACGCAAGTGTTGGGAATGGAGAGGCCACTTTCTGGTTGTCGTAATAATGTTAGCACTTTGGTTGATGTTGCTGTTGGAAAGGCTCAGGTGGTTTCTTTCTGCTGTGGTGTCTCCGTGGAGGAGATATCGCAGCGGGCAGGACAGTGAGAAAAAATAGCTTGCACACACAAATCTGTCATGGCAAAGGGGGGCAGAACTGGGCAACGGGTCCTAGTGGTGTGGTAATAACTGTATTTCCACTGTGACCGTGTGTGTGTGTGTGTGTTGGACAAAGTGTGTGCGTATGTGCTGGCCTGCCGTTATCTCGTCTAATGTCTAATTCTTCAGCTTAAGGGTGCCACATATCTGGTTGAATCACAACGGTTGTTGATTCAGTGGTGCACCATGATTGTGCTCTGCTTGCAGGGGGGAAGAAGACATTCAAGGTCCCAGCCGCAGTTGGGATTTCCACTGACTGCAGTGGGGTTTTTTAACGGTCATCATGCATACGTGCAGAAATGCTTTTGGGTTACTTATTAGGATCAGATGAATTTTATTTTGCCAAATTGATGGAGGGATTTTGATGCCAGCAATTATTATCTAATCTATCATATAATCTGACTTTAAAGTGGCCAAAAGACGCTCTATTTATAGCACGGAGGAAAAAGTGGGTCGACTATCGGCTGGCAAATGGGAATGCGCGTCAGTCTTCTCATTCGCTGTCGTGAGCAATCCCTACGTAGCGGAAATGGTGGATGGTGGAACTACTGGAGTAATGGTATTGCGTTGACAATAACGTTGGAAATGTGTCAAAGTGAAAGAGAGCACAGTGGACGGAGGACACAAAGAGGGAAAGGAATAAAACCCCTCACGTGGGTGGGTGGGGGAGTATCTGCTGCAATTACTATTTCTGTCATTGCAGCAGATACCTATTAGCAGCACTGTTCTTGCACCTTGTGCGTTGGGGTGTCAAAACGAGTCGGGTAGCAGAGCGTACTCACTCTGTGTTGCCGGTGATCTCCTCTTGAATTTGCCTGGACTGAAGGATGCCTTCTCTTTTCTGAAGAACACAAAAAGCAGGACCAGATGCTGGGGCTTATCAGAGCAACCTTCTCTGAGAAAGGGAAGACTTGCTATACTGTTAAAGTAAGCAGGCTGCATACCTGGACGACCACCACCTGAATGGAGACGTGGTCCGGCAGTCTGATCGGCGCCCTGAAATGCTGTGACAGCGCCACCAGGAGGTGCAGGATGGCAACAATGCTTTTGGTATGAACCGCTAGAGTGGAGGACAAAGGGAGAGCAAAGGAGTCACGGAGAGATGTTATCAATGACCAACTATACATGTAACTCAGCTCTTTGACAAGCCCGCTACACTCCTTGTTTATTTACCATCATCCAAACCTGTTGGTGCTAGTTCCAATGATCACAACCCACAGATGGATCAAAGCCCGCCCACACCAAAGATGTACCAGAAGTGTTTTTGGCGGCATAGAATCGGACAACAGATCTTTTGAGTGGAATGTGTGTCAGTGAAACCACCAGAGGTGCTTCCGAATAAATGAGCACCCAAAAAAATATGTAGTTTGGTGCAGCGGAACACGAGATTGGCTGCGGACAGACGCAAAAACCCACTCACGACCAATCTCATAATCTCCTGGCAGAGACAATCATACATGCATGAATCAGACTCCGGAAGAAAACAAGTGTTCTGTGGACTGTTTTTGGCAATTTCAACGAGATCATGTGGCCACCCGCTGCGACTTTTTGGAGATTCAGGTGTAGCTCGTAAACCCAGAGAAACTCAAGGAATTGGAGTGAAGAACCCTCCTGCCTTCAAGTGGATAATTTTGTTTTTTAAAAGTTAGTTCCCTCTCCTATTGACTGTAAAAATAAGTCATAACAGAAAATCAAAAAAAGCTGCAGCTTTTCATTTGAAAGGAGAATTGGAAAATATAAACAGGAGTAATGATCTGTAGATCTTAACAAATGAAGAGTCCATTGGAGAACTTTGTGATGGCTATCAATGCTGAAATGTTTTTTATTTTAAATCAATTCATTTAATTGTGACCTTTAAATTTAAAGTCCAACGGAATTGTGAATTTGGAGAATTGACATCCTGAGTAATGAAAACGTGCTACCAATGTATTGAGACATTCTTAGAATCTTCATCTATTAAAGATCTGTCAATTGTAACCGAGCAGAGTTGCATGAGCCCCGCTCGCTGTGGGTCGCCAAATAACAAACGGCATATTTTCCAAACTTAAAGAAATGTATCATTTAAAGTTGTTACCTTTGGATAAACAATCAGGAACAATTAAGTTCCCAAAGCAAGCCTCTGATTGAACCCTGTGGCATCGGCGAGTCACACAGAGCATGAGAGGATCCAAAAAGGATACATCAGGAAAGACGAAGAAGAAGAAAGGGACAAACAAAAGTGGAATGATTTAAAAATAGGGAGAACTACTCAAATAAAAGGGCTGCAAAATCAATTATATCTCATGTTATTTGCCCCTACGCTTTAGCATTTTTCTATTTCTCTTATGGCTCATGTGCACCTTACGGCTAATGATGGAGGTAGAAAGCCCGGTGGTAATTATTGCGGATAAAAGAGTGCCGTCAAAAGGAGAGGAGGAGAGCTCTTATTGACGAGCACCGGCTGTTGTTCTCCATCCCAAAGCTCCCACCTCAATAAGGGGGATATTAATCCAATGGTGACAGCATTCAGACATAAAAAAACAATCCTGTGAGTGGGGCTTTTTTGAAAAAGAAATACAGAAAGATAAGAAAACCTGGCAAGTGGCTGCTACTCTCCACGCAGGAGGGGTCAGGCTGGGAGATAGGCTCTTTTAAGGATGGACATCACTTCATTTTGAACGTTATTACAAGATAATAAATTATATTTGATAACCATTTAGGGCAATTTGGGGTAGAAAAATCATTTTGTGGGCTCTCCCATATAAAAGTAGACCCTGCTTTCAAATTGCCACTTTGGCGCTTCCGTGTTACAATTTCCTTTCACTCACCGATGAAATGCTCCACTTTGTTTTGAATCTCTCTCACTGTTTGCAGCAGAACCACTGCAGGGTTTTTTAATGTTCTGTAATGGTTGTACTCCTCTTTCTACTGGGAGAGGTCTGGACCGTAACGCTCTGGGTTGAGGACTTCTCCCTTTCTGACCACTAATGTACCCCTATGGTTGAATGCACTTATTGTAAGTTGCTTTGGATGAAAGCGTCAGCTAAATGACAGAACAAGAAACAAGAAAGTGCAATTTCCTCAAATAAGCCAATTTACAATTTGCTATAGATGAGTGACGTTACAAGTACAGTGACAAAGTTTAACATAAAAAAATCCAAACTCACTGATTAAAAAAACCTGAATAATACCCAGATAAGAGTTAATCCAAGAATAAAATAGACAAAGAGCCGACCTGCCAATAAACCGACACAACTGTGCACACCTTGTCGGCAGATCGGGTTTTCACAAGCAGACTTTTTTTTTTTTAAGAAAGACCATCTACATCATAAAACGTGAGCGTGGACCACAGTAAACCTGGAAATGTTAAGTGGAATAGAAAGCGTCCTCACAGTCGACGTTCCAGCGGATGTTTCTGGTGGACAGTTTGAGCGAGTCGTTGATGCGCTCCAACACAGTCTGCAGCTTCTGCTTCTGGGCGATCTCCGACTGTGTCACCTCGGCCACGTTCAGCTTCTCGCCCTCCAGCTTCTCTGCAGCACCGGGGCACACATGAAACACCCGAGGTTAGTGGACGCAGCAGCAGCCGCGGAGATGCAAAGAGTTCAGACTGCCGGCTCCTCACCGAACAGCTTCTGCAGCACCTGTCCATCGTACAGGTCCTCAGCCAGGTCCTTCACGATGATCCTCTCCCCCACCAGGACGTCGTTGATCCAGTCAATCAGCACCTTTGTGGGAACAAAAAAAAAGAACAGTTATTCGGGGGGTTACTTCTGCCCACATCTAGAGCCGCTGTGGCTCAAGGTTGACTTGTATGGTCTTCACTGTCCGTCCCTGTAGACCGGGGTCTAGCTGAATGGCTCTGCTAGCTAATCAAGCAGTTTCAAATCAATTGAAATATGTTGTTCAATGGAATGGAACTCAGTGATCTTTCCAGGCCACGGCGTTGCTGCTGGGACATAGCGTTGCCCCAATGCGAGGGCTAGGTATCCACTCCATTATATGCCTGCTGGGACCCAGTGATTGCACAGCACCACTCACATTTTTGGGAAGGAATGGTGTAACCTGTGTGCGATGAAGGGAGGTCTGGCTCACACCACCACACTTCTCTCACTTCTTGTCAGCGCTTTCTTTGGATGCCTGTGTACTTTGTCGCAAGCACAATATGAAGGAATGGGCAGCCTGAATGACCTCACCCTCATGAGCTCCTGCAGCTTGCGGTCGGTCTTGGAGTTGGGGTCCACCATGGTGCGCACTTCGTTCTCCTCTGGTAGATGAGCACAGACGGGAGAAATGTTAAAGTCGGGGCGTGGGTGTAGTATTACAATATTATCATTTTAGATTGTATATTTATTATAAAGTTAGACACCCTGTGTTACATTTAATGCTTGGAGAAAACATATTAACTTGGGGTAAAGTGGATTTTTTATATCGAAGGCAAACCATTTTTAATAAATTAATATAAAAATAAATAAAAGGTTTCAAAGGCCAAAAACAAACCCACGCAGGCTTTAAAGCGATGTGCCAGTGTAACTGTTTACCTAGCATTGTGTCCTCTGGGTCCAGCTCGTAGTGGGACGGGCTGAGAGGAAGGTTGATAGCATTAATTCCTTCTTCCTGAAGCTCAGAAACTGTGAGGAAGACGTACACACATCATCATCACTTTCATTCAGACCCCCCCTCCACAACACTTAAGAGGAAAAAATGTATGAGGGATGGAAGTCTTTCTTTCTGTCTCCCATAAACAGCTGGGCACTGCGACGATCAACAAGGTTACCGTTTTATCATCATTAATTAATGTCTCTCATCTCTGTAAATGGAGTAGGCTGTAAACGCCAATGATCCCAAAGCCCTAAATAAAGTCTTTGGGTTCATATCCGACAGATAATCCCAATTTTAGGGATATTCTATGTTCAGTGTTAATATGACACAGAAGCCACTAAATCCTTCCGTTATAGAAGCTGGAACCAGGGAAGGTTTGTCGCGTTTGCTCAATGAATCGATCCAAAGGGCCGACTGACCATTTAAATAGCCAGAAATAAAAAAAAGCTAAATCTTGCAAAGCCGAGAAAGTCTTTGAAGCCATTTCTTGCACCAAACGAAGGACGACACTCACATCAGCTGAGAGATAAGGACAGGGATCGAACACCGCCCCCCGCCCCCTCCCACCCGATGCCACGAAGAACCATTAGCCTTTCGACGTCAGACCAACACGGAGCGTTTCTGCTTCCTGCTTCTCAGCGGGCTTTTATAGAAAACCCAGCATGCATTTCTTCTCAGTGTGTCAGATACCTGAGGAGGCTTGATCACTGTGTGAGTGCTGAGAAGCATGGAGTGAACATCCTGTGCATTTCACTGGAAATGCACAGGATCCACCTCTCAATCAACATCCTCTCAATCAACACCATCCACCACTGCTGGCATAGTGCACATGGTGCGGGGGATTCCAACAGAGCGCTGTGCGAGGATGCTGCATGAACAGAACAAACTAAAAGAAGGTGGATGAATTAAAGCCGACTAAAAACCATTAGTATGTATACATGTTGTTATTATAAATTGAATTTGAGATGCTCCATTGTTTTAAAAGGTCATAAATAGAAAAGGTTCATTTGAGCAGGTGAAAGAAAACATGGGTCGGCTTTAAAGAGAGACTACCACACGTTTGAGAGGAGGAACACGTGGAACTCAACCGACCCAACCACAGACTGGGTGTAAGAAGTGGAAGTACCGTCCCTCGGTTTGTAGACCGATATTTTGAAGTCCCGAGTCTGCCAATTCGAAGGCCTCCATCCTTATTACTAGAGATGCTCCGATCAGGTTTTTTGGTGCCAATCACCTATCACTGAAATCGGTATCTGCCGATAAAACCGATCACCAATCACGGTGTCGATTTAAGCATTCTATTTATTGTGTAGCATTATTTATGAAATGAATTATTCTTAACAACATTGGTTTTGTATTTTAAGTATTTAAATTACGAGACGAGAGAGTATCATGAATTGACAACCATCCGTTTTATTGCAGGGAACGTGCAACATTCCAATGTAGAAAAGCTCTCTCGCTTACTATAAAATATGTAAATAATAATAAATATTAAAACAATAATAATAATAGTAAAAATATAAATCTTTAAATGAAAATCACAACAATAGAATAACATGTGCAACATTCCACTCTCTAGAGGCTCTCAATAGAACTTGGAGCTTATAGGAGAAGATAACAGACAGAATAAAGATTAAAGGTGCACAGGAAGTCAGCAATTAAACAAAACATATATCTACGTATATCTATCTGTATAGTGTCTCACTCACTCACATACTTCACTCACTCAACTCACTCGGAGAATGGGCATACTAGAGTATTCAAACCTTACTTCTGATTAAGCAGCATCACTGGCCGATTTGCCTTGATAAATATAAGCATCTCAGCATTTTTAGGAGTCAACCTGTTCCTCTTCTCATCTAAAATATGTCCTGCTGTGCTGAAAAGTCGCTCGCTATCTACACTTGTACAAGGTGCGGAGAGGAAGACTCGTGCTGCTTGTGCGAGAGCAGGAAAGCGGTCTTTATTGGCCTTCCAAAAAGCAGGTGGATGTACGTGACTGTTTGGGATAACTGGCTCTGATAGGTAGAGATTGATCTGTGATGCTGCTGAGCTGATGTTACCACCGCCGACCTCATGTTGCTCATCTTCAGCCAACAGTTCAGCATGCATAGCATGCAAGGAGCCAGCTCGTGGTACCTTCTGTGGGGGCTCACTCACTACCGCATTCTCCTCCTCTTGCTCCGCTGCAGCAGCCAGGACATCAGAAAGCAGCCTGCGCACCTGTGGCTTGAGTCCGACGGGGAAATATCGGTCCTTATATCTTTTTTCATGAGAGAAACAAAAGGCAAGATTAATTAATTCATGTATTTAATACATGTTGTAGGTCATCATGCTTACCTCTTGAATAAATTAGGCATGGGCTTGGCCCCAAAGCATAGCCTCAATTTCCATTCTTTATAGTTGAGATGAACTGCTTTTAAAATCAAATTCAGGTGAGTTTGGAGGAAATGCAAACCATCCTACACTACAGAATAACACAACAGTATTATATTTTACCTTTAACTTCAGCATAGCCCCTTTTATCAATCATGTTTAGGCCATAGCTAAATAACCATATTAAATCATGTCTTTCTCTCTCTCACACACACACACATATATACCACACACACACACAGAAATGTTCTCACCGTGGATCAAGGAGTGTAGCGATGGTGTACAGGCGCTCAGATTCAATGTCGCTGAATCTCCTCTTGACAGCTTCCAGGAGCGTGGCTTTCGCTGTCTTCACACCGTGGTCAGTCTCTGTTGTTTTCTCAAGAAGACAAGTTAAAGCTCTGACGGATGGTATGACATCTGCAGCTGCTGCAGTTGATGAACTTATCGTTTTTGTGAGCTCGTCAAAAGGGTCAAGCACTGAAATCATATTCTGCACCAATTTCCACTCATGGACGGTCAACGTGGAAGGCAATTCAAAGTCTGCTGCATAAGCACATAGGGCACGTTTCTGTTCCAGTAAACTTTTTAGCATGGCAACAGTGCTATTCCACCGGGTGAGAATGTCCTGTTGTAGCCTCTTTGGAGGCTGGTTCGGATTCATTTGTTTCTGAATACTGAACAGTCGGGAGTAAGCAAGCTGTGAATGCTTAAAATGACCGACAATGCGTCTTCCACTTGCGATGACATCAATGATGTCATCATTGATGACATCATTGCATGCACAGCGAGCTGGAGGGTGTGCGCCATGCACGGTAGGCTAGGTAAACGCGCGTCCCTCATGGCCTTCTCCATGTTCCTGGCGTTATCCCGCAGAATAACGAGCACCTTTTCTTGTGGGATTCCCCATGCTTGGAACATGTCTGTGAAAGCTGCAGCAAGTGCCTCCGCGGTGTGCGATCCGGGAAACTCTTGTGAGTGAAGCACCACTTTGGTCTTCATTAATAAACTGCGCAGTTAGGCTCAGCATAGACACAGGACAGACACTCGAACTCCAAATGTCACTCGTGAAGCTAACTGCCCTGATTGTCCTTCATAAGGCTCTCGATGTGCGTGTAGACATTTCGGTATAATTCCGGCAGACAAACATCAGTTAGGTATTTTCGGCCCGGCAGCGTATAGCGTGGATCCAAGCAGGATACAAGGCGTTTGAACCCAGCGTCTTCCACAACAGACAGCGGCTGCTGATCAAGGCATATGAATTCCATTACCTTTGCATTTAATTCCTTTCGTCTCTTGTTGTCATTGCTGTATGGTTGCTGTCGTTTCAATGTCTCTGTTACGGTCAGCTGAGTGAGTGGCGTTTGGGAAGAGGTTGCACGCTCTTTGTCTTTATCTGCCTTAACACTCGCCAACTCCGTAAACTACTCAAATTCCTTGGTTCGTGGTGTTGAAACCCCTTTGACGCGTTCCTCCACGGGGAACTACTTTTGAGCAGACGTTGCAAACTGCAAATTTATTATCTTTTTCCGACACCTTGTCATATTGCCAGACCGGCAAAGCCATTTTGTCTCAGTGGTTTCACCTACCCGCCACCGAAGACGGGGGACAATGACATTTAATAACATGGAGAGACAATAATAATAATAATAATAATAATAATTTCTTACCATTGGCGGCCTGAAATGCCTATCTCTAACGCTTTATTGAAACGTCTCTGATAGTAGTTCTCGCAGATTTTATGTCATCTGATCGGCCAAATTTGATCGGCCGTTTTGAGAACGCCTGGATCGGCGCCGATCAGATCGGAGCATCTCTACTTATTACGGCTTTATTACATCCATCACCATATCGGGTTTTTTGCAACCAATAGACTGAAGTGACCATATTTGGAACGTGGAGGGGAGACAGAGACCCGTCAATCACAGAACGCCCGCCCTGAAGCATTGCTTTTTGATCTATTCAACTCCAAATGAAGGCGGGGGTGGGTTACTTATGGTTACTGTCCACAGATGAAAACTTACAAGCTCATGCGAAAGCACGGCTGGGATGGCAGGCTGTGATGACACCATCCCCAATCAACCAGATTCTGTTATTATGGTAATTATCACTTTTGCTATTTAGGGATGAGCAAGTACGTGGAGACCAAGGCGGGTGGATGTACAACGCGATGTGGCGGCGAAATGGCTGGGGTGTTACCTCCATCAGCACGTCAGATACGATCAGCGCAGAACTGATTTGCCATCAGCATCGCAACCAGGGTGAAGGGGAGCCGAGTGCTCCACAGTTCCCTGCCCCTCTCCTCCACGGGCAGAGCTCACAAGTCTCTAATGCAACACCTGATCCCATATATTCCATTCTTACTTCCACAGAAAGGACACATTTACACAACACCTCTCCTGAGTTGTGTTTGCTATATTTCCACGTCCAGCACTCATACCTCCTGACCTTCTCCTCCTCGTTCGCTCGCCATCTTATAGGCCTCTGTTCTCTCGCTTGAACCTGTTTTTCATCTTCGCCCTCCTACCCCTTCCCCGCTCGTGTGGCGACCGCCGTAAACGTCACAAGGACTTAAATCTAATCAACAATCTCCCACCAGAGAGACCAACCCACGTTCTCCATCAAGAGAACACACTGCAGACATGCTACACACACTGCACTGTGTGTGTAACCATGACCAAGCATGGATATAATGTGATTGCTTGCATGTGTCAGAGTATCCCGAACGACACAACGTAATCATCCGATCGAAAGAGACCTTTCTCCACGTGGATGATAAAAAATGAAAAAAATAAACCTGGCCTTTGGCGGTGAAGGCCATGCCCTCGTTAAGTCGGCTGTATTTTCCAGATCAACCACACGTGGCAAAAAGCTGAACCGGACCTTTAAGAAAGAGGCTTTCGGTGTAGGTTGATTTATACTAGCTGCTTGGTAATAAAAGTCCAATATAACAAAGCTTCATAAGTAATATAAAATAGGGGAAGCTGCAGTTTTGTATCTGGGCTGTGACATCTCATCCCCGCTGTGAGAATCAAACTCGCAATTTTTCATAGGAGGAGGAAACGCTACGGAGCGAGCTTACGCGTCCAGAGAGGATCCTGAGGCCTGTCGCGCCCGGTCTGTTTTTCTTACCAAACGAGAAAGAAATTGAAAATAAATAAGACATAAGAAGAGGCCGATCCATTGACAGGAGAACATATATTTTACATATTTTCTGCTGTTTATTGGGGAGGGACACCCCCCCCCCCCAAATAATACGTGGTTACGCCCTTGATTGTCCCACTTTGATTTTACTTGCGATTACCCACGATTCAAAGCGTCAAAACAGGACGATAGAAAGATGTTCAGCCTGGCATATTCCCTTCACACGGAAACGTTAAGGCAACACAATGCAAGCAGAGATAGTTTAACACAGCCGGATTATTCAAGAAACATTAGTTTTATTACAGCCGTTTTGATTAAATCAAGTCAATTGATTATTTATACAAGTAATGATGTTGTCATAACATGACATATTGTGTGCTGTCCAAGTTGCACCTTTTTAAAATTTCTTACAGTCAGAAGGTCCCCGAGCGTCCAGGGGGGCCTCTGGGCCACCACAGTGTGGGTGCTGGAGGAGCCGCAGGCCTGGGACGGGGCCCTTGTTTACTCGAGCCTCATTCCTCACTTATTACAGCGGTGGCGGACTCAATACCGTACATGGATACAGACACAGGCCGCGGCCATGGAAAAACACACAAGAGCAACAAACACGCTGTAACCTCAGTTTATTGTGCTTCCTTTCGGGGGAAATTATGTTAAAAGCTGGAAATATGTAATGATGTGAAGTATTTGTTTTAGTAATTTCATCTTGACTTCTGATACCAATGTAGCGCGGCGGGCTATTGGGACTATTTCTGGCTCGTTGTTTTACCTTCTTTAGCCTTTTTCCTTCTCGACAAAGTTCCTCCAAGTTTCCCCAGGAAAGAGTCGTCTTTCTTTCTGGAGGACGGGGATTTGGGCGTCGGAGACTTCGGAGAGGACGGGGATTTCTGGGGCGAAGAGGCCATCGTGCCTGCGGTGGTTTAATCCGGCTAACGTTGACAGGGAAACTCTCCGAGTTGTCGTGGAAAAGAAAAGTTGGTTGGAAAGTTAAGCAAAAAAAATCACCATCAACTCCCTAAAGCGGAAACGGAATTCCAGACATTTATTCCTGAAGTGCGTGGCCCCTCCTGCTCCGGCGGGGAGGGGCGCTACCGTTAGTGGAGCAGCCCGGAGGAAGGCGGTCTGCTCACCGTGGGAAGGGTAGCTGATCGAGGCGGTATCAAGCGCAGCAGAGGGCGGCTAAAAACAAACAAACACGGATTGTCTGTCTACAAAACGTCGTGCCCTTTTCAGCTTTGAATAGCTATAAATTATGTATTGGGGACCACCCGTAATTAAATTATATTTTTTTCCTACGCCGGACTTGCTTTCTCTAATAAAACTAGCTAACAGTAATGCTCTTGCTAGAATGTTGGCTTACAGCATGACCGTTATATTGTAATTTTTTTTATTACAATAAAAAACTACATTAATAGTTGAAACATTTATGAATTAAAAATTCTAAACAGATGTATAGAAAAACATTTTTTTCAATCATGAAGCAACTTATTCACAATTAATTAATTTATAATATACACAAACTTAATAATTTGACTCACAGCCCATACATCAGTGTTAAAACCAGCACCACTAGCGTTAACCGGCAGTAGGTAGTCAGAAAAAAATCAGCGCTTCAACACTTTCTGACCCATGTCACATCTGTGGCTGCGGTTTCCCTTCACGAGTCAGCATGTTTACACCTCTGGTAACCCCGTCCTGGGAGTTTTTTTAAAATTGCTTTTTGGGTTTGGTGGCAGAAAATAGGGTAACATAACTGTAATGTTTTGGATTGTTATAGAAAGACTTACTAAAATACTGACTAATTTCCAGGTTGGTTCCTTCAGTTCTCTATGAAAGAAAGAGTGGTGACCTCACCAGACGTTGCCTGAACATTTCAACATGTGCACTTGCGGTTTTCTGCTGAATGATGCAGTTTGGAGTTATTATTATTATAAATAATAATTATTATTATAAAAACGTGAAAATTCCAGCCACCTGGCAGATGTGCATCATACCAGCTGGCCACAAACAGCCGCAGTTAGCATTCTCCGGTGTTTTTTGGCATCCGAGTGATTACTATTGCATTTAATTTGAAAACACAAAAAACCTCACAGTAACACACACACACAGTTACAAAGTGTTAAACAGTGCACGACATAAAGCAAAACATTTTTGATTTCATAACAATTTTATAACAAGTCTCAGACAATCCTCGCTGTGTCGAGTCATTCCTCTCTTAAGGCGGGAAAACACACGCTGTCAAGTTTGGTTTACGAGGCCAAAAAACTGTAAAATGCACTTTACATTATCAGCAGCGCTCGTCAGGTCAGATAACCTGAATGTTACTCGCAGCTCCTTTTCTATTCATCCACCCATCTCTGAGCTTAGCAAAGGGAGACCAGATGGAAGCCTTGCCGTCCTCTTTAAGGGTCACTAAAGACTTCCATGACTTTTCCATCCTCTACACATAATCTAGATGTGTATTTTTACAAGGAGGAGTTCAATTCCAGTTTATTGAAAAAAATGGCGCTCGCTGAGCCTCCCCACTTTCCTACCCTTTCCCGCTTGGCCTTCACTCCGCCACCCCCCCCGCCCACCCAGCTGTTGTCCGCAGGCGCCCAGTTAAACTCGTAGCCCTTGGACAGCACGAGGCCCTCCAGGTCCCTGTCCTCGGCCCTCTCCTTCAGCCCCTGCTCCTCCAGCACGGACACCAGTGGCCACGTCTCTCCACCGTCCTTATGATCTCCGCCAGCATCACCTGCTCCTGCTGAAGCTCGGAGGCCCTTTTCTTTGTGTCTGGGGCGAGGCGGAAGAGAAGGAATTGTGTGTGTGTTACGTGATGCCAGCCTCACCTTCTGTTGCCATCCTTTGTTGTAGATCTTGCTGCAGACGGCTCTGTGTGTCCTGAAGTTCGAGCTCTTGGGCACTAAGGGAGGCGATAAATATTGGATGAGCCCTAGTGATGAGAAGTATGAACTGCAGCAACATTTAACTAGAAGCATAGAGTCTGATTGTGCGGCCTTGGTGTTTCATGAGAACCGCTTGTCCGATCGTCTTCATAATTGGCCGGTGTATTATTGTGGACCCATGGGACAAATTAAAGAAAAATACAATCTGACACTGCAGTTTACTTAACCAAACCCTTCTTTAAACACTCGGTAATATAAATCTGTATTATATTAACATATCTAAATAGCATCATAAATCTATAGCTGTTAGGGGTCACTGTTTTTTTCACTAGTATTTCTTATTTTGAATACTCGGGCGAGCGGCCATCAAGAAAGCTGCGGCGCAACACGGGCTTCATGGATTTTTTATCTTCCTTTAGAAGTCATTGATCCAGGTGTGAGGCGGTAACGTTGCATACAAGATCATGAGCTCAGACTCATAGCGCGCCAATCTGTTCTTCTCCAAGACGAGTCGAAACCAGGACTGATAGAGCTGGGCCTCGTCGCTGTCTTCAGTCTGAGGCGATTCTGGCAGGGGAAATAAGAGGCGGGAAGAGTGTAGCAGGGTTGGAAGTACAGCGGCTTCAATTACATAAAGACATTACGAGAAAAGAAAGAAATCTCTCACACACACACACACACACATATCTCTGCTTTGCGTTAAAGTGACAGGACCTCACCATTCACCAGCACACAAACAAAGCCCACCAATGTAAACAGCTGGAGCAACAATGAAGTACTCTTTCTCTTGAGACTACAGCCATTAACTGTTAGTGCAGCTTACAATGCTTTTTTGTTCTGAATGTTTGAGAAGCGGCACAGCGCCTTAAATAGAAGAAAAGAAGACTGAATTTCACTTTCACATGGAGCCGCGTCTTGTTCAGTATCCGTTTCTCCTCTGATGATCTTGTCGATGGTCACCCCTCTCACCTCCAGGTCTCTCTGTTTCTCTGCAACCTCCTCCAGTTGTCTCTGGATGGCCTGGGGAAAGAAAAACAAAATCAAAAAGGACATTATGTGACATACATGATCAAGTGTTTCTTGGTCAAATTTATTTATTTTTTAACAACAACAAAAAATGTACGTTAGATTTCATGAACACGGACGGACACGGGATTCATGTGAATACTGAACACAATCTCTAATTTGTGTCCTGCACTCGATAAACTTAATTACACTTAAATGACATCAGTATCTGATTTAATGCTGTGAATAAAATATTTAACAACATAAGTGGTGTTTTTTGTCCGTGTGTGATACAATAAAAAGGCCCAATTGGCTAGCTAAAGTCTAAGCTACTATATCCATGACATGTTTCTTTTTCTTGTAAAAGAAAGGAGAGAGCCATACCTGAGCCCTGTGGAGCCTCTTCAGCTGTTCTGCTTTAGCCTGCTGGGACACCATCCGCTCCTGCGTCCTCCTCTGTCTCTCTGGACACGGCTGAATCCGGAAGCACAAGGAACGTTCAGAAAACATACACTGAGGGGCAAATACAACGCGACTCCCCGGCTGCACGGACACGGTCTCTACCAACCTTTTGATTGGATGTCGGGTATTCGTCTTCGTCGTCATTAGAGGTGGCATCTTCAAGATTCTGCTGTCTGGAGGCTGGATATAAACAAAAATAAAAAAAGTGAGAATAGGTAGGTAAGTTTGAGTTTGTAAAAAAACTCACAAAAGTTTCCATGTATAACTTTTATTATATCCACCAACAGGCTCAGACTATACAAGTGTTCGACTCAGACTTTATATAAGAAGTGGAAGTAGTCGTGAAGACGCCACCCTTTGGTTTGTGGGTTGCAGTTTTGAAGCCTCACTTCCTGTCCGTCGCCATCTTGGAAAATGAAATGTCAGCATGCTCTTTATATATTTTTGCAACCAATGAACAGAAGTGACTATATTTGTAATTCAGAGGACCGATGTAGAGACGCTGTATACGGCTCTGGAAGCGGAAGCGACCTGTTGTCTAGACTTGTATACAATCAGACACCCCCTGATGGTCAGTAGAGAAACATGCACATTTTAAGGCTTCCCCCTCAATACTGGATAATAAATTGTGGTTCCCTTTCCCCGCTCACCAGAAACATGACTCCAAAAACAATGTTGTGCTAGTTGCACTGCCGTGCAGTGACCAAAAAAATACATAAATACAACATCTCTTGTTTAAAAGATCATGTGCAACGACGGTTGGGAAATAGCTGGGCTAACCTTTGTTTCGGAGGTTGGCGAGTATCGTCCTGATCTCCTTCTGCTCCTCGTGGTCCGGCCCCTCCCCCTCTGACTCTTCCCTCTTCCTCAGCCTCAGGGACGAGAACAGGTTGGCCCGCCTGGCGGGCAGCGAAGCCATGTCGTCAGAGAACATCCCTCCGAAGTTTCTGCGGCCCTTCAAGGACACCTGCTGCAACAGCGAGGGCAGGTCCTGCTCAGACCCCCATGGATTGGCCCGTATAGACCCCCCGGGGGCTTTGCACTTGCTGATCCTCTTCTCATCTCTGTGTGCACTGCATGAAAAGTGGGATTTTCGGCAGTATGCGGCACTGTAAATTGTCGTGGAATTTCAGGTTTGCGGCAATTTGCGGGCAACTCCGAAAACTGCCGTAAATTGTCAGAAATTGATGTGGGCCTCCCTTGGCAGTTGTCCCCCCATGACCCCCCTCCTCCTAATTCTAGGGGAGGCTTTGACATGTAAATGAAAATGCTGTGAGCTACAAATACAAATCAGGGTTGCAGAGGGAGTTTTAGCCCAGGTGACATTTTTTTAAAAGGTAAGAAAATCTCTGGTACAAATAGATCAGGCTCAGTAGCCTAATTATAGACTCTTACATTTTAGCTTGAATTGATTTATTCAAATATGCTAGATTACTGTGTACGCCATTAGCAATGGCAAATGTTATGTAAAAAAGATACACAAAATAACTTCTTTAAAAACTTAGTTTTAATCAAGGTAAAATGAGCATTCCATGCAAACAACATTTGAATCAGAATGATGGTCTGCCGAGATCACAGTCTCCTAGAGCTCAACTACAGTGCATAGTGGCAGGACTTCAGTGACCTTTTCTTTGGTCTTACTTAAATGCACAGAGGATGTATTAACCACACATCTTCTAGCAATGCGCTCAACTGGCAGAAATGATGCTGGGTATGACGTGTCTGTTCCCTGTAAGCCCCAAACTTCTATTGGCTTTCTATAAAAATGTCTGTCCGGGTGGGGATGAAGCCAGGAAACGTGTGCACGAACATGTTTAAATGCTGTACCCTTTGACACATTAAAAACTATAAACTGCTTTATAATGGCTGGTCGTAGTTCTGCTAGAGGGTCAAGGACGGGTTCCTCAAAACTGTTAGTGTTTCCACACCACTTAGCATGAACATATGCTGACCTTTATGCTCTGCACACTGCATGAAAAGTGGGATTTTCTGCGGCACTGTAAATTGTCGTGGAATTTCAGGTTTGCGGCTGTTCACGGCAATTTGGGGGCAACGCCGAAAACTGCCGTAAATTGTCAGAAATTGATGTGGGCCTCCCTTGGCAGTTGTCCCCCCATGACCCCCCTCCTCCTAATTCTAGGGGAGGCTTTGACATGTAAATGAAAATGCTGTGAGCTATACAAATGCAAAACAGGGTCGCAGAGGGAGTTTAAGCCCAGGTGACATTTTTTTAAAAGGTAAGAAAATCTCTGGTACAAATAGATCAGGCTCAGTAGCCTAATTATAGACTCTTCCATTTTGGCTTGAATTGATTTATTTAATTCAAATATGCTAGATTACTGTGTACGCCATTAGCAATGGCAAATGTTATGTAAAAAAGATACACAAAATAACTTCTTTAAAAACTTAGTTTTAATCAAGGTAAAATGAGCATTCCATGCAAACAACATTTGAATCAGCATGAGGGGTCTGCAGAGATCACAGTCTCCTAGAGCTCAACTACAGTGCATAGTGGCAGGACTACAGCGACCTTTTCTTTGGTCTTACTTAAATGCACAGAGGATGTATTAACCACACATCTTCTAGCAATGCGCTCAACTGGCAGAAATGATGCTGGGTATGACGTGTCTGTTCCCTGCAAGCCCCAAACTTCTATTGGCTTTCCATAAAAATGTCTGTCCGGGTGGAGATGAAGCCAGGAAACTTCATCTACAGTTTTCTAGGGAAAGTCGTTCTGCTGACACCAAAACACTGCTTTACATGAAGCATATCAGCTGTTTCAAAGTCCCAACCATTTGTCTTCCTAAAATACTGGTCCTTCCGTATAACAATAACCTCGTATGTGATTGGAGGACCCTTAGACTCCTCGTCCAATCACGTGTGAGGTCATAGGCATGACTGATACAGCAGTACTTGCAAGACGAGCATACAAACAGACACGTGTGTTACTATACTCAGAAGAACTGTATCTCCAGTTCCTTTGTTTGGTTTTTGCTGCTTCGTGAATAATGGCTGGACGACGTCTCGCGTTCAACTCGCCTTCAACTCCTCTCCGCGGTCACCAACTTTCGGCCAGTCCGCAGACAGACGAGAAGAAGCTGCTGATGCTCTCAGTGGATCGTCTCGTCAACTCCAACAACAAACTGCCGATATCAACGAGCGGTTCGCTCCACTGGAGCGTTCGGGATTCTGCGGGTTTCTGTCCACGGAGGAGAGGAACCGACTCAAAGAAGAGGAGACGGGCGCACGATCCCAAGATAGCGGTAAGAATACGTTCGATGACTGCAAGCTAAGCTAAAAGTAGCGTAGCCTCAAGCTAAGCTAAGAGTAGCCGAGTAGCCTTACAAGTGAGCAGAAACAGCTTTATTAAAGTGTGTTTTCTTTGCCGTGTCGTTTACAGGAAGCGGCGCGCCGTCTTCACAACTCCGAGACGAACTACAGGCGCTACGAACCGGAGAAAGGGTCAGATTTACAGAATATGCTTTCATTCTGCGCTATAAGGAAATATATACGTATGGATACCGATCATAACTGTACATTTTGTTTTCACAGACTAATCTCGCCTCATAATGAGGCGGTGACCTCGTATTTGCTCCGGGAAAAGTCCAGATTTAGACGTCATTGTGTGTAAGTTACACCGTTTACTGTTTCTCCTTCCTTGTTAAATGTTACTGTGACTTGCGTTTGTTTTTTTTGTATTCATACCACACTCATTTAATTGTTTTCCAGCCGCCTGTGAGACGTATTGTGAGACGGGACGCAGGAGCTTCAGGTTCAGCCGGACACTCATTGCGAGCGGAAGCTGCGAAGGATTCAGCGCGGAGTCGAGCGAGAAGAAAGAGGGTCAGAGTTTATTTGTTGACTTGTTTCAGGTGCATTGATCGATGTGTTGTGTCCGTATGCATCGCATCGCACAGTACTGATTCATTGTTGTTTTTACAGCTGCTGGAATCGAGACAAAGTGCTGGCTGATGACGAGGTGGAACTCTGGAAATCCGCCACCGTGGAGCTCACGTCGGGCGGAGGGGACGGCGTTGTTGGCGGGGTCTCGGGTGGATCGTACGGTCGCCACCCGCACACGAGGCGCCTGCACAACAGACCTGCCTCGGAAAACACGGCGCCAGTGACGGTCAACAACCCCGAGGAGGCAAACGGACAGTTTACTGAGCTGTAGTTTTTAAACCGCCGTTACCCAAGTGTGGGCAGATCCTCACTTTGTATGTAGTTGTTGTTTGTGTGTTGTTAATAAAGCTCTTTCTTTGCATAAACATGTGGCAAATTTTCATTTTCTCTATAAATTCATTGATGTCCTGGTTGGTATCCTAATAATAGTGTAGTAGCCTACATAGGATAACCATGAAATGAATATACAGCATAATATGAATATATAAATAAAATGAGGCGGGTGACCAATAGCGACAGATCTGCCAACCAATCACGAGTGATTGAAAGTTGTGTTTTCATCCAATCGTGAACAAGGAAACTCCAGCCTGGTCTGCCCACGTGTGGTTTTGCTGCCAATCACGAGTGATTTTATTTGTTAGTAAGTTGTGGTTTCATCCAATAAGGAGTAAGGATATTCAAGCCCGCTCGGCTCGGCCACCCGCGGTTTCGCTGCATTCATATGCTAATTCGGGCCATTCGCACCTGCGCCAGCTCTCCACCTACGTCATGGTTCGTTTCCGACAATTTGTGGCACAGACAAACGCGACGTGCGCGGTTTGCAAATTGTCGGAAATTGTCGGAAATTAGGGAGATTTCCGGGCGTTTACGGGGACGAAAAGCTCACTTTTCATGCAGTGGCATCTATCGATTGAGTACATTCATATATGTTACCCGTTTACATGTCAGGCAAAACATTCAACCTCAGTGACACAAGGGTACATCTGATGATACATTGTCAACATTGCATGTCTGTCAGACTCAAGATTGTCTGGTGGAATGGAGAAAGAGGCACCACTGTACAGTTTTCTAGGGAAAGTCGTTCTGCTGACACCAAAACACTGCTTTACATAAAGCATATCAGCTGTTTCAAAGTC